TACAGGGTATCAAAAAGAATTAAAACGTTACATTGTTTCACTCCATTCTTCTACCATTCATTAAAAATCAATTAGTTTTGTGTTACTGGGCACTAAGTCACATAACGGCTTTCGTTGCTATAGCACTGCCTTGACAGTTGTCTCCTACACAGCAAATTATGGCCACATTGAGTGACAAAACTCATCAGGCTCTCCAGCAATATTCAGGAGTATTGTTTTTGAGAATTCAAAGTTCTTAGTGTTTTTCTTTTGTATTATTTCAATTAGATTTTATTAAAAAGACAAAATGTTATTAAAAAAAAACATGATCTGGTACAAAAAAGACACTATAAATGTTTTTTTTTTTCCACAATACTCTTTCCACCCCCCAAGGAGTGCTTAATTAAAATAAGGCTTATTGAAGTATGTTTCCCCTTCTGCCTCCATACACATGCTAGGGCTTTACTCTTGTATTTTATTTTGAAACATATTAGTTGTAGTAATTTGTAGTTATATATTTATAATTGGGGGTATGTTCTCCTTTATATCATTTTTTTTTTTTTGTATTCTTGCCCAAGTCAAGTTATAGCACTTTGTAGGATTTATTATCACAAAGTGGCACAGTCGCTTTTTCCTCCATTTTTCTTTAAATGCCATATGCACCAGTGATCAGCAGAGAGCAAAATTTATAAATACAAAATGTATCATTAAAAATCAAAAGAACATAAGAAAAACTTCAGCAAAATTCCATATCATCTGACATGCAGTCACCTCCATAATTATTGGCATCCATGGTAAAGATATAAAGGTATAAAAGGTAACAAACAAATGTCTTTGTAGTTAATTAGCACAATCTCACATTGATAAATATGAGAAAAACATTAAATGCATAGAGTAAATTTAATCTAAGAAACAAAAAACCTTAGGTTAGGGGGACTGGGACTGACATATAAAAAGCTACATTCTGTGATCACTGAGCCATTTTTTTTGTGGAGTTCAACATATGTTTTTGATTATTGTACCGGTGGAACGTGTCCCTGGCCATTAGAGGAAAAGCAGACCCAAAATCCATCCTCCACCATACTTAAGAGTGAGATTCTTTTCTAAATAATCATCCTTCTTTTTACACCAAATCCACCTTGAGAGTTTTGCCAAAAATCTCAGAATCTCTGAGAAATCTCTGATCACAGAGCCCAGCTCCAGTCAAAGTTTTAGTAGCGTCTAGCAAGCTCCAGGTACTTACAGTCTCTTCTGTCATACTTTACTCCATTTTGTGTCTATTTTTATTTCTGCCTAATATATGCAAGTTTATGTGCAATTATATGTCATTCTACTGTAAAGCTGCAATTTCCTTCGGGATCAATAAAGTTTCATCAATCAATCTATCTATCTGTGCTACCATCTTCTGGAGTTTTACCTTTCTGTCCATTGTCCTCTCTGTGCTTTGGAATCAAATAAACATGCATCCTCTTCCAGGCAGGTTCACTACAGCTCTGGGTGTTTTAACCTTCTTAATTACTGCCCTAACAGTGCATAAGGTCACTTTTCAGGCATGTTGCTATTTATTCATAGCTTCTGCCTGACTTATGAACGTCAACACACTTTTTCTCATTTCATTTGTATTCTTCTATTTTTCCCCATGTTAATGAGTGATTAAAAGAGTATGGTCTGTTGCCTCATATTTATCCCATAGTGAAACAGAAATTCATGAATGACTGCTTAAGAGTTCCTGAAATATAGAGATGCACCGATACCACTTTTTGCCTTTCTGATACCAATACCTGATCCTTTAGTATCGACCAATACCGAATAAACTCTGTCTAACCTAACTCGCCTGTAAGTCCTGATATAAATACAATTATATTTTTTAAATATTTTACTTTGGTAAAATCTATGTTCTGTGTCACATATAAGACACACAGCTTGGCTAGATGGCATTTACTTGTTAGACTATATTTATTAGATGCTTTTTTTTGTTTATTTACTGTATGTATTTCATATTTACTATTATACAATTAATAACAAAAACCATATTCAACAACTTAAGTTAATGTAAAATATCTCTGATGTGCAAAACAGTTAAGAACAGAGCTGAACAGTACACAGATAAACCTGTGGTTTTTACACATCAGCACACAGCAGCTTCTCTTTCTCAAAAAAGTTGAATGTTGTTTCACATCCAAATTTCTCAAATCATTTTTCTCATACGTACATCTTGTTCACTATTGCTGCATCTCTGAATGTCAGTTCCGTAAATATCACAGTCGTTTATGCTGTCCGTATTAGAGATTTTCATTGTTTTTTCTGTCTTGGTTGAAGCGACGCACCGCGAGACCCGCTGCTGAGTGATACAGCTGACTGACAGACGCACATGGCAGGCAGGGCCAGTGGTTGTGCAGGCCCGGCTAGCGAGCTGCTATGCTAAAAGCTAAATCAAGGATTTAGCCTATCATTTAGCTTAGAGTCTGGCGGTTCCATTTCGCTCTCTCAATAACATCAACTCAGGCTGTAAGCCTGAGACACCAGGTAAAAGCGGCCCAAATCTGATTTTCTCACCAAATTCGATTTTTTTTGTTTGGCTGTTCACAATATCTTCTTAATGTGACCTATATGCGACATCAGTCGGAACAGATCAAACTCCTAAACTGACCAGCATGTGGAAAAAAACAATGCTTCACGTTGCTTCATGTGGCACAGTCATTCAGAGGTAAACAATCATGACTGCCAATGAACACCAGTCCGCTCCCAGAGGTTTCAGTTTCATCTTTACCAGCATCACAGGAGTCATAATGAAGCTTCGCTGACTGACAGCTGGGCTCATCAGCCAGAATGTGTTTGAGCTCGCCATTAAAAGGGTATGGTCACTTCTTTTGTTCATGTCCTTGGATTCTTTAGACTTTGCTTTCAGACTTTTAACTGTTATTTCACACTGCAGCCTTGATTTCCTACAGCCACTTCTTTCAAAATCTCTTTGAACATGGAGGAGTTTGGACAACTGTCTTCTAATTTTTTGTACAGAAACATCACACCAAATGTTTGAGATCTCAGCAGAGCAAAATTATGATAAATGTGGAGTTGGATTGACATAAAAGTCGCATGAATTCCGATCTGGCTGTTCAGGCACACTGCTGCATATTGGATACATTTCGGATTTTAGTACCACATATGAAAGCGTCTCAAATTAAAAATGATTCAATGTGTTTTTTGCTGTTCACAAAAGACAGATAACCCGTCTGTGTCACATATGAAGAAAAACATTGGATTTGGTCCACTTTTACCTGCTGTGTGAACGTAGCCTAAGAGACTACATAGCAGCAGATGAGCTATTACTGAAAGACGCAGCTCAGCCGTTCAGGTAAGCGGCTCCGTTAGCATGTTCTGCCATTACAGATTCTGCCATGAGCATTCTTACTGCTGCTGCTTGTCGTCTCACACCACTGACACATAACGCCATGTGTTCATAATTTACTGCTGGAAGCCAAAAATCTTAGATGCTATTTGTACACTGCATGTCACTTCAAACCAGTAGTATCCAGCTGCAGACCAGCAGTAACGCACTTTCAGACCCGCACTCCTCACAGGTACGCCTCTAGTGGTTAATTTCAGAATTGCAGTTACACTTTCCTGCCCTTCCAGGAGAATTTTCATGTGACATTTTTGTTTTTTCAGTGTATCATGCGCATTCAAGTGGTTTTTGTGACAGATTAAGAGAATACTGAGGTTGTGAAATGGGTGTTTATTAGCTTGCTGGTATATATCAGTTGTTGTATTTTACTGGTATTTGAACCCATACACTTTTAAAAAGTTGTCCTGTTTAGAACTATGAGTTCTACACAGAACCATTTCATGCTTAAATAGTTCTTGGTGAAATGGTTCTTCAGATTAAATCTGTAAAAAAAATTATAAATGAAATAAAAACAGCTTTGTCTGTTTGTTCAAGGTGATAATGAAAATGGTAATGTGGATTTGTTGAAATGTGATGGGATGAAAAGAACATTATTCTCTCATTAAAATATTTACAACTTATGAAAAAGTAACATTTTTGGGCCAAACACGAAGTACATTAATAAGGAATAAGAATAGCTAATTTAAAAATATATAATAAAATCCACCATGCATAAATGAATTAAACACTCTCGTGTTTGACTACCTAGGGTTAAATAGCAATTTTCTGTCTATGACAAGAATGTACTATGTAGGCAACTGTAATAAACATTGCCAAATTACTTCGTAATCACATAGTATCTGAGGGTTTTTTAAACATTATGCAGTAATACATCTGCACGCACATCTCCCGCGCTCTCCGTGTTACAAATGGCAAGCCTCTTGACCCTTACATGACATCATATCCAGAGCTGAGGTTGCGGGGCTGAGAGTGCGGTGCTGAAAATGCGGTATTGTGGGTCTGCAGCTAGACCCTTCTCCTTCAAACTTGTCAAACCTTATGGACCTAGCTTTGGGCACAGTCATGCTGGAATAGGAAGGGCCTTCCTCAAAACAGCCCCAGACCAAACTGTGGTAACAGTGGCATGCTAGGACAGTGCCATGTTTAAAGTCACTGAGCTCTTCAGTATGACCCATTACACTGCCAATGTTTGTCTATGAAGATTGCACGGCTATCAATGGGTGGTGCTGAAACACCTAAGCTCAATAATTAGGAGGGCTGTCCAAACACTTTTTGCCATATGATGCATTGTTCAAACTGAACAGCTTAAAATATTTTTGATCAATCTTTGCCTTGTCACGAACACAAAAAACACACTTGGGGCCATAAAAGGTCAACTTTTAAAACAATTCCTTACTAGCTTGTTAAAAGCAATAATCATGTGGAAAGCACATGCATCAACGCACATAATCAATGCTTCAAAACAAAGGATATATATGTCATTACATACAGCTTCTTTAATATGTCTAACTCTAACAACTTCATTCAACAGGGGTGGAACTAATAGGTGAAAATATCTGGTTTTATCGAATAATTATAATACATAGAAGTCTGATGTGTGTGTATAAATACTTACTGTGGTTGTGTAGGTAGAAGGAAGGGGGCCGCCTGGCCTCTGGCAGAAATCGAGAGAAGAGCAGAACACACTCAACACACAGTGCTCGCTCCCTCCATGCCCTCATCCTTCTTTCCCTCCCTTCCCTCTCTTATTAACTTTTCACAATTTGGCCGGCTCAAAGTGAGCTAGTGGAAGATCATGCAGTGTGTGTATGACAGAGTGAAATGAAATTAGTGTGAAAGCTACTTGCATACACCCATTCAATCATTACAAATTTAGCAATGATTCTGCCTGTGCTAGTGAGATGGATTGCAGCCACCTAATGTATGTTGTTGTGAAAGCATGGCAAAATGTGAACCTATGGCAAAACGTAGCAGAAAAGAACACGGAAAACTTTGTGTATGCATGAGGAGGGTGTCCTCTTCTTGGCTGGTAAATTATTTTCCAGCGATTCTTATTTGTAAACCTGCCAGTAACATGTAAAACACTATGGCTACTTTAAGTTTTCTATTACTGGATGATCATGAGGGTTTAGATCATGCTTAGATTCTGAGGGGATAAATAGTCTACTCAAATGTACTAAAGCACAAAACAAACATTTGGTGTGATCCATTCAGGAAGCAGCTGTCTGAGTAGGCAGCATTTAAGGCTGTATTTGCACAGTTCTGAGACAAAGGATGTTACATTCTGAATGCAGCATAAGTCAGCTTCTCTGAGAAGGCCTTGTATTACTGGTCACTGGCCAAGTTCTATCATCTCAGTTTGATAAAGATGGTGGTCATTTCTGCCAATTGAGGACTTTACAAATGTACATTATTTCTTGTCTTTTGTCTTCACTGTTATAATTGACTGCCCTATTTGTGTAACATACAGTGCTGTGGAAAAAGTATTTGTCCCCTTCCCAATTTCTTCTATTTCTATTCTTGACACTTGAATGTTTCAGATCATCAAACTACATTTAATATTAAACACAGACAACACAAGTAAACACAAAATGCTGTTTTTAAATGATGAGTTCATTTATGGAAGGCAAAATGCTGTTAAGCCCTACCTGGCCCTATGTGAAACAGTATATGCCCTCTTAGCTACTTTTGGGTTCAATTTCACTAGCCACACCAGGCATGATTACTGCCAGACCTATAGAATCTCTTTCTTTCACATGATGCCACGTTCTAAAGAGATTCAAATACAGATGCGAAACAAAGTCAATGAAATCTACAAGTCTGTAAATGGTTACAAAGCCATAGCTAATTCTCTGGGATGGGACGCCAGCAAACCCCAGTGAGAGCCATTATTCACAAATGGAGAAAACTTGGAACAGTGGTAAACCTTCCCAGGAGTGACCGACCTACCAAAATTTCACCAAAAGCACATCGAGGACTCATCCAGGAGGTCACAAAAGAGCCCAGACTAACATCTAAAGAATTGCAGGCTTCACTTGGCTCAGTTAAGGTCAATGTACATGATTCTACAATAAGAAAGACACTGGGCAAAAATAGCATCCACGGAAGAGTTACAAGGAACAAACCACTGCTGACCAAAAAGAACACAAAGGCTCATCTCGCATTTGCCAAAAAACATCTAGATGACCCCAAGACTTTTGTCTGCAGACCAATGAGTCGAAGGTAGAACATTTTGGAAGACATGGGTCCCGTTACATCTGCCATAAAGGTAGCACCACATTCCACCATAAGATCATTGTACCAACAGTCAAACATGGTGATGGTATTGTGATGGTCTGGGGCTGCTCTGCTTCTGCAGCACCTGGACAACTTGTCATAACTGATTAATTGATGGAACCAGGAATTCTGCTCTCTATCAGAATGTCTGCCCAAAAGAAACAAAATTAAGGTTTTGGAATGGCCGAGTCAAAGTCCTGACTTGAATCCTATTGAGATGCTCTGGGAAGACCTTAAACGGGCAGTTCATGATGAAAAACTCTTAATGTAGCATTTTAACTCTCCAATGTAGCATATTAAAAAATGCAAAGAGTGAGCCAAAATTTATCCACAGTGATGTAAAAGACTCATTGCAAGTTATTGCAAACATCTGATTGCATTTGTTGCTGCCAAAGGGAGCACAACCAGTTAATAGGTTTAGGAGGCAATTACTTTTTCACATGGATGATATAGGTTTTGAATGAATCTTTATCTTCAAATGGAATGATCATTTACAAGCTGCAATTTGACTTTACTCATGTTTTCTTTATCTTATATTAAAATTAATTAGATGATCTGAAACATTTACATGTGACAAATTAGCAAAAATAGAAGAAATCGAATGGGGGCAAATACTTTTTCACAGCAATTTAACATATCTGTGTTTGTAAATCACTAGAAATGGTTCCTATAGTTAAATTCAGGCAGTTCACTTGTCTAACATGGCCTGACCTGCTGCCTTTGTTACTCAATAGCTGAAACTAACATTAGCTAGTCAGCTTAGCTAGTGGAACAGCCAAGTAAACACGCTGGCTCTTCAGTACAAGAGAGAGCCCAGTTTAATATACTGGTTGTTCACTGTTCAGTAGCGCTTTTTGTTTGTAAACAGTTTAACAATTTGGCTTTATACTCTGAGATGCTGCTGCTAATTTAGTTTTTTGTTTTCTCTAAAGAGCTAAAGAACTAAAGAGATGAATGTTACAGAAACAGACAAAGGCTGGTTGAGGAAGAGGGGCTGTTACTGGGAGAAAACTGCGCTGAATGGCTTGCTTTTCCAGTGCATGTGGGTAAAAAACATGGTAGAAGTCAACACAACAGGCTGACTGTCCCGGAACGATAAGGAATTCTTTAACTTGCTGGACGATGTAAAAGTTCTGACATAAAATGTTTTTCTAAATAAACACAGCAAATGCTTGTATTACTATGCTTATCACAGTCACATCAGTGTTAGGTGAATGTTTACAGCTGTATGTCAGAACAGGAGCACACAGATCAGATGAAAGTGCATAAAATACATATTAGCCATTTCTGATGATTATGTGCAATCCTTTTTCCTGGGTGCAGGAAAAAAGTTGTAAAAAAAAGTTGTATAGCTGGACAGGGTCGAGGGGGGTGGGTTGGTGTTTACCTGTGTTTGAGGGGTGCAGGGTTGACACTATCATGGTGGTGGCAGGGGGTCCAGTAACAAAAGACTGAGAGGAGGCAGGAGGAGTGACCAGGGTGCCCTGAGGAGTGGTGATCACTAAACCAGCTGAGAAAGAGAAAGAGACCCATGATCCGACTGATTCAAGCAACACTTACTCAAGAAGATTCTTCATTACAGCCTGAGCTAACTAGGAGTCATACTCTGCTAATCAACTTTCATTATTTGGTGCAGACTCACTGTGTGAATTCTGTGAAGACTTCAGAGCATTTCAAGACATCTAGAAAGGTCGACATAGACTTGAGGCCTCTCATGATACTTTTAAAGTTATTAACATACACAATAAGGGTGACCGGAGATGCCTAATTTGTGTAAACGATGGAGAAAAATTAAAAACAAAACACAGACAACACACACTTTCTTTTTATCTTACTGCAAGCTAAATACAATTATGCATTATTGGAAGTGGACAGTATGACATCCAAAACCCATTCCAAGCAAGCTTCAGCCAATTATGAGTTGCTCAATTAATTAAAAAAAAAAAAATCAATCAAATTATTGATGTGCAATTTTGACCTGGTACATACTGCAATCTCCTACATGCCTGTTTCAACAGGCATTATTTCACTTATACCAGTACCAGTTTTGTAATAGCCATAGATTTTGATAGCATTTCTAAAAATGTGGCATAACTGCAGCTTTCTTTTGTCCCAATTTAAAAACCTCAGAAAAAACTAAAAAAAACTAATACGTAATGTTCATTGTGTCAAGGTTTCAGTATCGGATGTTGTATTTTTTCCATACGGTCCATCCCTACATTCTTGCAACATTTTTCAGCATCAAATTAGGAATCATGCCAATCTCAACACACTCTCATAAAATAAAAATGTAAAAAGAGACATAGCTTAAACACAGCTTACAAAACCTACTTCAGCATAACAATGTATTTTCTGCTAAAAATACGGGGGCCAGCTTCACAGACATGACTAGAGCTTAGTCCTGGACTACCAAATTGCATCTCCAGTGGTTAGAAAACCACTGGGAATTCTTTTTAGTCTAGGATAAGTGGGAAAGAAGTAAACTGGCTCCAAATGTTCAGAACTTCCTCTCACCATATCTTTAAATATTGTCTTTAGAAAAAATGCTATTGCCATATGAGTTCAGCATGGCCATCTGTATTGAGTACAGGTTCATCCTGGAATAATAAGGCTAGTTGTATGCATGCACAACGCATAAAGGAATAATGCTTCTCAGGTTTCTGTAGGTATTTAATTTGTTATAAGAAAACAGCTGACTTATACCGTAATCACTTTGCCATTGAGACAAAAATCAAGTTAATACTGAAAAGTACATTTATTTCCTCATGAATTATGAACAGCAGATGTAAAGTTGAACCACTCACCTGCTGTCATTATGCCAGTGGAGGGAACTGGCACTACCGTGATGTTCTGCGAGGAATGGGGTGGATGGAGGTGTGCTCCGACAGTGGCCATTTGTGGTCCTCCTGGACCACCTCCACCTCCTCCTTCCTGCTTGGGCACTCTGGCAGCTGTTCCAGCGTCCATGGTGGCAGGGCCAGGCACAGTAAGTACGGCGGCAGGGTAGTGTGTGGAGGAAGAGTGAGGGAAGGAGGCACTCTTTTCTGGCCCCAGCTGCTCTTTCATCTTGTTCAGAAACATGGCGTTCTCAATCTAAAAACCACAGCGGGTAGAGAGGTAGGTGGAACGGATGGAGAAATGGAGGGAAAAAAGGAGGAAGGAGTGGAGAGGATAAAGAAACACAAAGAAGGAACATGAAGTAAGAGATAAATGCAGAGGATGAATGGATGGATGGAAGAAAAATGGGAGAAAGAGCAGCAAGGATTATTTTCTGTTGGGAGGTGGGCATTGAGAGTTTTTCAAACTTTCACATGGATCAGAGGGAGTCTTGATTTAGTCATTCCAGCCTGCTATGGAGCACATACATACATGTGTGTGTGTGTGTGTGTGTGTGCGTATTTACATACATATATATATATATATATATATATATATATATATATATACACACACACACACACACACACACACACACACACACACACACACACATATATATATATAATTTTTTTTTTTTTAACTTAATTTTGCTTTTTAAGCATGGTGTCTCGTAGACACAATGATGTACTGTACAATAATAAGGTTTCTACCTGTCCTTGCACTGTGGGAACGGGAGACCAAAAGTATGATGAGTTGAAATGGGAATCTTCCATTATTTCTGCAATTGAAAAGCAACATAACTTGTAAACACCCATTCTGCGTTTGTCTACAGTTTTGAAACTAACCCCTTGCCCTTTATTTTATGTTTCATGTGTAGAATTTTGGAAGGACTCTTTGCTTGGGTATAAAGTTAGACACCCAAGCAAATCACACAAAGCAAAGTGCTTTAATCTGGAATCCACTGAGGAACTGTGGATGCAATGGAGTCTCTTTACATGCATTTTCCCTTTATAACTGTTTTTTAAAGTTGGGCAAAGGGACACACAGATGGTGGATTACCCTATGCTTGCCATAGGGCAGGCAAAGAGGCGTCTTTAATTTTTTTTTTAGGTAAGTTCCATGGTGCATGCATGACTAAAGTGCAAACAAGTTCCGCACGCACAATTAAAATCAAAAAGAAATCAACATCAAGTGTGTGTACTAATACAGTCTGGGCGTCACCTGAGTTACTGACCAAACGTGACAAGAGATAATAGGGGAGTGACACGCGCTTCTGTTCAAGATCTTTATTCACATAAAATTAATTGATGTTTACTAAGGTACATACAGTTGGTTGTACTGTTATATATTTAATTAGAGATGAGAGAAGAGCAGTTACTGATGTATCTTAAGTTAACCTAACATTCAATTTCACTGCGACTGAGCGACGCCCACTTGCACCGAGATTCATCTGTCACACTATAAATAGGCATCAAAACAAAAGCCAAGCCTGCTAGCCTGCGGCAAAACTGGTTAACTTCATGTTATCAGTTATCTACGTGTTATGGCAGGTTGTTTTTGCATTATGGCAACTCATCTGTAGCCGTATACTCAACGGGTCTTCGACTTCACAGCGAATACTTTCTTTCCAGCCGTCATCTTTGGGGAACCCAGCTAGCTAGCAAGTTAGGTTCTTTTTTTATTCGTACAGTAGGGCAATAATAATAATAATAACAACAGGCGAATACTCATCAAACGTTAATACTATATGTAACTTTGAGCTGGGCAGTGTGGCACTAGTACAGGTACTAGACAAATTTAATGACTGCCTTGATTTGAATGAGCACTCCTGGCCAATAACAACACGTACTTTAGTTAGCTTCCTAACGATATCTGGGCTACCCAGCCAGCCTCCATTAAAATTTCAGCTTTTGTTAACTAGCCAAGGAGAAGCGTCATTAAATGCTATGTACAAGTAAACTTCCGCTTGAAACAATATTGTCCCTATGCCTCTATCGGTCTCTCCGGTTAGTCTGACTGTGAAAATAAAAAAAGAAAAAAAGCTCGAGGATAAAAAAAAAAAACGAACGGTGAAAAAAACGTCGACGCCAATGCCCCTGTGCGAGAGACGCAGCTTCATGCAGACTTCCGGCTGGCGAGACAGAAGAGAAGCGCCCGAATGAGTTGCTCAAATTCGGAGAAATAATTAACAATCGAGTCATAACTCCGTATTAATTACCGGTGGTGACGTTTTCCTTTCAATCCCGGGACCCCTTCGAGCCGGGACAGTTCGGAAACTTCGTCCAAATCCGCCCGAACCCTCAGATTCACCCTTTTTCCCGTTTTTTTTTTTTTTCGATTTTTCTCCCTCCTGTGGGGCTGTCCGACTATTCTCCGCTACACTTCCGGTGAATGAGGTCAAATTATAAAATGGGAACGAGTGATTAAACCGACTTCCGTCATGTAAGGTCATAAAATAATTTTTCCAATGTGAATCAATAGACATAAGTACTACTAATCGCAATTTTCATAATTAATAAACGTGTATATTGTATAATTCGTGATATATTTTTGAGACATATATTTTAAATGATGTTCAGGCTATTCCCAGTTCGTCTCAAAATTACAAACATAGTTTCATAATACAAAATAAATAGTAACATAAATTCCCGCATGTATTTTACTATACAAGTTCTGTACTTATGCATTACCTTCACCATTCCTCAGGTGATTTAATAACCTGGGAAAGGCCAGGGAAGTCAGTTCTTTATTACAACCAGCATTCTTTATTTATTCTGTTCTTCATTACAGGATGTAATAAATAAGCGATATAAATACAAAACTTAAATGACAAAAAAACAAATAAATAAAAACACACATCCCAAACCGCCTTCTGTTTTAGCCCTTAGATTCTCAATACAATCTACCTGTAACGTTACACCCCGACACCCCCCACCCTCCACCCCTCCGTCCCAACCCCACCTTCGTCAGTGCAGTGGGTGGGACAAAGGCCGATTATATTCTTTTTCACGTCAGTTGGTTTTGAGTTGACCAATGAAATATAAGCGTGAACAGCGGTAAAAATTTGAAATCCCAACGGCTTTGGAAGCGCTTAGATCAGTGTTGTTTCGTGCGTTGTCTGAAGACCCGTGAGTCGATGGTGAGTTAAAAAAAATAATTACTGTATAGCAAGATTTCATCATCATAGCGTGGAAAAGACATTGTTCACAGGCATTTCTAGTTAACTATTTACTAAAACCTTTCGTAAAATATGCAGTACTAACCTAGACGATAGCGTTAATTTTGCATCATTCAACTTACTACGTGCTGAATACCATAGCTGGCTAGAAAACGTTCATATTTGTCATGATGACTGAGTTAGCTAGTTACTGCCCTGCCTGGCTAACATTAATAGCTAACTAGCTAACATTTCATGAAAAGTTAACGGATAACGTTACAGGCTGTGTTAGTAAGTACTTATTTTGGTATTTGCAAAACAACCGCTGACTTAGCTGGTTAACCTAGCTAACCCTATCTTAGCAAACCTAGATTATCTTATCCGACATTTTCTAGTTGATTTATGTTATCGTAACGTCAACTTTGTTTGTTTCAAGAACAATCGGACCTGGTAACGTTAAATGAACAAAGAGGTGAGTATTGATTCCTTGACGTTCATCAGCAGGCCACATCAGCTAGCGTCAAATCATTTTCCTGCCTAAAATCTGTAAAATAACGTCACCGTATTGTCCTTTCAGTGCCTTTATGAAACAATCTTTTTAGCGATTCCTTTAGCTAGTTATTAACATAAAGTAGGTAACGTTAATTAATGGTAATGTTAACTACATCCAGTAGGCAAAAGCATTTCTTCTTTAACCATAGAAAGGTTATGTCCGGGTAAGTTGCCAACGTAAGTTAGCTAATCTTTTGGTTAAGTTACACTGTACACTCAAGTTACTGTAGGTACAAGCTCGGTGTACCTAATAAACCAGTAGCTCTGTGTGTCTGGAGTCGAGTAGAGAAGTTCATTGGAAGTTCCCTGCCTTTTTTACGAGAATGTTTACTTGTCCTATGCATGATTCAAGTATGTATGTCTGATTGGTTACTCCCTTAGACTATAACTGTAAGGAAACTTTCTTCCAAGCTTTCGCTCTTGTGTCTTTTCACAAGAGGAAATCACTTAATATAGATAGAATTGTTTCACTTATCCTCATTTGTTTAGTTGTATCTGTGGGAATGCGGGTAGAGTCAGGGTGGATGCACTAATGTTAAAGTGTGACGCAAGAATGCCGCTGTACGGAACACACAACACAATTGTAGTGTGAACTAATCTGTACTTGTACAGTTAGTTTTAAACTTCAACATTATTAGGTATTATATAATGGGTATGAATATGATTGTTCTAATGTCAATGAATAATGTTTCCTTTTCAGAATACAATGTCCCGTTTACCGGTCATGTCCGGAAAACGGCCTCACTCCAGTATTACAGATGGAGAGCATCAGCAGCCTACACTGGTATGGCTTTGTGTTCTTCAACTGCACTTGGTCAGCCATATCTATGTAAACAAAAACAGTTATTAATCTTCTTTATGATTTAATTGTAATTTAATCTTAATATTTATCTGTGTCTAAAAGAAATTACGTAAGGTTGAGACAGAGATTTCTCAAAAGCTCAGACCTGCTGCCAGTGTGGTGCCCCCCAGACGTCCTGTGCCAGCCAAAGCAGCCAGTAAGTGATAAGTAACAACCATGACTTGTTGACTCATGAGAATTAGCTTTAAAGGAGAGATATGTGCACACCCTTACGCTTTTAAGAATGTGTAATGTGATGTTTAATCTGTAGAATTCAATCTGGGCATTCCATTTGTTTTGCAGTGTTTACATACTTGGGAGTATAAGATGTCTGTCAATATTAGCAGTAATACTTCCTCCTGCTCCATACCTTAAGGTGTAGAATTCTTACTCTTGTTTGTCTCACAGCTAAGCCTCTTCGTCCAACTGGAGCGGTGACTCTGGCAGCAGCCCCCTCAAGAGGTCAGTTATGTCTTGCTTGTTTCTGTGGATGGTATGCTGCGTTTCTGATTAAACACGTTCAACAATTTCTGAATGCAGGCCTGGGTGATATTGTCAATACCTGTATGTTAATATCTGTCACATTATGATTTTTGGTTTTAGTGTACTAATTGTTAGCAAGCATTATATTAATGACTTTCTATTCCATTAACAGCATTACAAAAGCATACTTGAGTGAGTTCCTCTAATTTCCCAAATGTGGCTGAATTTTAACCATAATGGTGTAGGACTGGCAGATTAATTAGTTGTATTAACAACTGCTTTTGGGAGTATAAGACTGTAACAACTTTAACGATGGGTGGAGGAAAGACGCCAGGGGCAGGTGTAAAGACGGAGTTTTTTTTATTATTATTTATTACGCAAAACACTTGGCTTTTCAGCCCACAAAGTATTATATTTATTAGTTATATTTATTATTTATAGTATTTATTAGTTGTTTTCCTGTGTTAGGTGACATGAAAAAGTCATCTGCAGCAGTTGCTAAAGGTAGGATCTGTCTTTGAACTCTAAATACTTGTTAGGAACTAGTAGTATCTGCTTCTTGGTAACTTTGTAGATCTGACCATTTGGGCTAAAACTTAGTTTTGAGATGAAGTAGGGGCTAGCGTTCATTACTCTTGCATTCTTTTTTGTGACGTTCCACTCCTCATCCACAGTTGTTGGCACATCAAGAAGACCAGGATGGGACTTGAAGGGGAAAGTCAGCGACATGGAGAACAAAATCCAGAACTACCAGAGCCGAATTAAGTCTGTTAACCAGGAAAATGAGAGCCTCAAAGATTGCATTGCAAAAGTGCAAAAAAACGAGGCTGAGATTCAAGTGGAGAACAGAAGATTAAAGCAACGTCTAAGGTATTGTCAGAGTACATTTGAAATTATATTGATGATTTTTGTAATGTGGCTATCAGATCAATACTCTTACAAATTAAGTTTTTTTTCCTGAATATCTACTTTTCAGGGAGCTTGAGGAGGAGCTGGCTAAGCTAGCAACAGTGAAAGATGACCTGGAGAAAACTTCTGAAGAGAGAGATGGCCTGCAGAAAGATCTGAAGAAGCTATCAGATGAACTCAACGTTCTGCAGAGGCTCAGACATGACCTAGAAACAGAGCTCCGCAATATGCAGGCATGTCTCTGTGGTACCCAAGTAACCAGTACACTTTATAAAATGTAGAGCAATATCTAATTTTTCTAAAGTATACATGGCTAAGATGTAACAGTGTTCTAGGTAAGAGTGGTTAAACAATTGCATTTTCTTTAATTTATTTGCTGGTTTGGTTTGTTTCCAGTGCTTGGAAGCATAGCTTTGTGTCCAGGTGGCATTGTTTCACCACCACCATGCATTCATGGAGGGGGAGTGGGTCTCCCATGAATCTCTTTGCAAAAAGTTGAAAAGTTCACTTCTGACAATGAAAATGGAGCTCATGGATCTTAAGTTCAAGGTGTACATTCTGAGTTCTGTTGTTTTTAGTCATTCTTGTTTGCCTTCTTTTTTACTTTTCTTCTATTTCAGAGCCAACTCTCGGTTCAGACCTCTGCTCTAGGCTGCTGTCAGGACAGCTTGCGGGAGAGTCAGGAGACCGTAAAAAGCTTGGAGCAGATAGTGGCCCGGCAACAGGATGACCTCCACTATGGAGAAATGGAACGCAGGAAACTGCACAACACCATCCAGGAGTTGAAGGTAAGCTGAAGATGGACAACGTAGTACAGAAAGAGTTCTAGAATGTTTATATGAAGGCTCAGCTGTACAAATACCTTGATCCTGAGCATAACTTTAAGCAAGAAGTGTTCATTTTCAGTGTTCATATTTTTGGGGTGTACTAAAATTGATATACATGCTTTAATGTTCCAAAAACACATTTTTCTCATACTGTGCATCTCTGTTCACCTGATCTCTGAACTCCTGTGTCTATATAAGCCCCCCTACAATGCTCCCAGTGTGCTCTGATTGGTCAACTTGCCCACCTGTTCTGATTGGTCAACCACCAGAGCAGCGTCCTGCTACAAGTTCTGTCCCTACACCGCTGTTACTATTCTTACAGGTTCTGCTGTATCAGTTTGAGCCAGAGTCTGATCCTGAAAGTCAGGTAGGACAAGTTGATAGACCTGAGCCACCTTTCGCAAGCTAGACTGGGGCAGGATGTTTCAGAGTTGGAAGTTTTCACTTTATGGCTCTCTTGTGTGAGGGTGTGCTAAGCTTACCAGAAGGCCGACTGTAAGGATTGTCACGGAATTATCTTGTAACAAAGGAGCTGGAATTCCAACAAGCATTTCAGGCAGCTGAGAAAAGTGTTCTCTGTGGGAGAGAGGTACTCCCTCTGGTATGTGCTTTGGGCTTTGTGACTGCAGACGTTTACCTGCACAAAACGCTATATAACACACTATAGGAAAGGGAAAAACCCAGAAAAGCACAATACGTCCCTTTTAACAAGGCAGTATGTCATAACAAGTAATGCTCACATCAGTGTTTTCTAACTAATGCTAACCATACACTAGAAGACTTCGAAAAGATTTTTAAAGGACTGAAGTCTGATACCCTCTCACATCGAAAGACAATGTCACAGAGTTTTTAGTCACAGACTATGATTTTGCAGAGTCACTATTTGCAAGACTGCAAATTGATTTTGAGATTTACCATCATGCACCTGGTGGAAATTTATAAGCAAAGAAACCCTTTTCCTTCTCTACTCTGTAGTAGTACAAATATGTTGGCTGGGCATGTAAAGATCTGGGGCTCAGTCCAGTTGACTGTAAAATTGTATATTGTGGCAGAAAATCACCCAGTGTTTTTTAAAATTAACCTGTAAAATGTGCATTTACTTCTTAATTAAACAAAGATTTACATGTCAACAGAACATGCAGTGATTCAGCATTGTTGACTGGGTGTTATGAACTAAACCATAAACAACCAAACATAATGGAAAAAAAAAAAAAAACTAACAAAGTAAAAAAAAAATTGGGAAAAAAAACGTTGATGCTTCCTCAGTAATGCCACTTTAAGTCCTCTGCACATGTTCTTACTTTACTATTACAGGCTCAGTGAGCTTGAAATATTAGAACAGATTACATATTTAAGTTAATATGATTTTATTGTGTTAAAGTGGAGCACATTTGCCATTTACAGAGATTTCAGGTACGCATACATTTTCTCCCTTGCACTCTCTGTCTTTCATGCTGCGCGCATTCGCTCGCTCACTCTCTCTCGCGCAGCCCTGGCACGTCGCTGTTTGCATGAGCCATGACTTAAAACTTGCGACAGTATTAAGCGGTTTATTTTGTCGCAGTGCCAAGACAGGAAAAAAAAGACGGACCTAAAACAGCCATCCTGACCACCTTTCACTAAACAATCGAGATGACGCGAGCACGATGCAACTCTAGCAAGACTCTCATGATTTTAGTCAGACATTGGAAATTTGTCTGCAACAGTGAAATCGCTTAGTCGTTTGGTGTAAGGCTGGCATAATAACCGTTAATTTTGAACAGCATAGGTCATGAGGAATGTACTACAGTTTAAATATTTTATGGTAACGTAATGCAAGGTAAAGAACTTTTTCTTCTGTATGTATACTTATTTTTAGTCATGTTTTCTCTTCAGGGTAACATCAGAGTTTTCTGCAGGGTCCGCCCTCTGCTTCCCAACAGGGAAGTGAGCATCCCACACATTCAGCTGCCTGCTCATGATAACAAGTCGCTAACACTTGCAAAAATGGAAGAGGTAAACACTTCAATAAAACATTCATGTGTAGAAAAATGTTTTTAGGCCCAGAGGGGCCTAAAACTACATATTTCCTATATGAAATATTGTTGAATCATGCAGTTAATGTTGGATTTTGAAAAGGGGGAACAGGTTCTGTGTTAATATTTTAAAGTGCAACGTTGGTCTCTTAGTCCCACATAGGACGCACCACTGACACTCAGAAAAGCTACAATTTTAGCTTTGACCGGGTGTTTGGGCCACACAGCTCCCAGAGCGAGGTGTTTGAGGAGATCTCCCTTTTGGTGCAGTCAGCTCTGGATGGCTACAATGTCTGTTGCTTTGCATACGGACAGACGGGCAGTGGCAAGACTTTTACAATGGAAGGAGGGGACATGGAGGAACTGCAAGGAGTCATTCCTCGAGCTGTCCAGCAGATTTTCAAGTGTGCCAAGGTGCTTGGTGAGCAAGGCTGGCAGGTAATGGTGCAAGCATGTTCGGGTAAAGTTTCTTCTACCACAATCCCTCTTCATTCTGTTTCTGAAAATGAGATTACGTGAATCAGATTTATTGACTGCAGTTCAAGTGGTACAACTTGCAGTATTTTATGTCCTATCGCTGAAAAATGTAAATCTAATTGTTTTGTCCCTGTTTATTTGAAGTACACTTTTACAGCCAGCTTCGTTGAAATTTACAACGAAACCCTGCGGGACCTGCTTTACACAGGCAAACCCAACAAGAGGCCAGAGCATGAGATTAGGAAGACTTCAAACAATGAAGTAACAGTCACCAATCTGACCTACCAAAGAGTCAACACAGAGGATGAGGTACTTTCTGTCTTATACTGGCACAATGTAATATCTTTGACTGTACTATATATAAACACAGCAAGCACTTTTATTGGGAACACATGTATACTTATTCATGCAGTTATATAATCAGCCAATCGTGTGGCAGCAGTGCATAAAATCATGCAGATACAAGTAATGCTCATGTCAGAATGGTGGGGGGGGAGGGGGGGGTGGAGTGGAGTGAACTCGGTGACTGTTGCATGTGGTACGACTGTTGGTGCCAAACAGGCTGGTTTGAGTATGTCTATAGGTGATGATCTCCTGGCATTTTCACGCGTCTCGAGAGTTATGTACTCAAAACAGTGCAATTAAAAAAAAAAAACATTCAGTGAGCAGCAGTTCTGTGGACAGAAACACATTGTTGATAAAATGAGATTGGCCAGACTGGTACGAGCTAACAGAAAGGCTCCAGTAACTCCGATAACAGTACAATTTTGGTGAGCAGAAAAGCATCTCAGAATCCACAGCACCTTGAGGCAGATGGGCTACAACAACAGAAGACCATGTTGAGTTCACCTTCTGTCAGCCAAGGGTGGGGAATGTGTTCTTGACACACATTGAGTTAATATCAATAAATTATCACTTAAATGCCACAGTCTATTTGAGTTGACCATGTGCATCCCGTTATGGCCACAATTTACCCCTTTTTTTTTTTTAAATCAATCGCTACTTCCAGCATGATCATGAGGTTGCAAAACAAAAGTTGTCTCAAACTGGTTTCATGAATATGACGTTAAGTTCTTTAGTGTCTTTCCTGGTCACCGGATCTGAATCCAGTACAACGCTACTGGGATGTGGTACAATGTGAGAATCGCAGCATGAAAGTACATTTGAAAAATCAGCAGGAATTGCAACATGGACCAGAACGTCAAAGCAATGTTTCCAACATCTTGTGGAATCTGTACACTATATTGCCAAAAGTATTCACTCACCCATCCAAATCATTGAATTCAGGTGTTCCAATCACTTCCATGGCCACAGGTGTATAAAACCAAGCACCTAGGTGTGCAGACTGCTTCTACAAACATTTGTTAAAGAATGGGTTGCTCTCAGGAGCTCAGTGAATTCCAGCATGGTACCGTGATAGGATGCCACCTGTGCAACAAGTCCAGATGTGAAATTTCCTCGCTACTAAATATTCCGCAGTCAACTGTCAGTGGTATTATAACAGTGGAAGCAATTGGGAACGACAGCAACTCAGCCACGAAGTGGTAGGCCACGTAAACTGACAGAGCGGGCTGAGGCGCATATTGAGCAGAGGTCGCCAACTTTCTGCAGAGTCAATTGCTACAGACCTCCAAACTTCCTGTGGCCTTCAGATTAGCTCAAGAACAGTGCGTAGAGAGCTTCATGGAATGGGTTTCCGTGGCTGAGCAGCTGCATCCAAGCCTTGTATCACCAAGCGCAATGCAAAGCGTCGAATGCAGTGGTGTAAAGCATGCTGCCACTGGACTCTAGAGCAGTGGAGACGTGTTCTCTGGAATGACGAATCACGCTTCCCCATCTGGCACTCCGATGGACGAGTCAGGGTTTGGCGGTTGCCAAAAGAACGGTACTTGTCTGACTACTGGATTATGGTGTGGGGTTGTTTTTCAGTAGTTGGGCTCGGCCCCTTAGTTCCAGTGAAAGGAACTCTTAATGCTTCAGCATACCAAGAGATTTTGGACAATTTCATGCTCCCAACTTTGTGGGAACAGTTTGGGGATGGCCCTTTCCTGTTCCAACATGACTGCGAACCAGTGCACAAAGCAAGGTCCATAAAGACATGGATGAGCAAGAGTGGAAGAATTTGACTGGCCTGCACAGAGTCCTGACCTCAACCCGACAGAACACCTTTTGGGATGAATTAGAGTGGAGACTGCAAGCCAGGCCTTCTCGTCCAACATCAGTGTCTGACCTCACAAATGCGCTTCTGGAAGAATGGTCAAAAATTCCCATAAACACACTCCTAAACCTTGTGGAAAGCCTTCTTAGAAGAGTGGAAGCTGTTATAGCTGCAAAGGGTGGGCTGACATCATATTAAACCCTATGGATTAAGAATGGGTCACTCAACTTCATGTGTGTGTGTGTGAAGGCAGACGAGCGAATACTTTTGGCAATATAGGTGTGTGTGTGTGTGTGTGTGTGTGTGTGTGTGTACAATTTATTTTTAACTGAATCAATTGTTCAATTATGCTGGTCTAAACAGTTGTGTTTCCATGCTCTAACATGGTTGAGTTTATTATTGTCTCAATCACTGGATGTAAAGCTATAACAGTCATGCCAGAGTAAGGAAGACTAAACTGCATTCAGGAGATTACCTTGGCTAGACTAAACCTTCATACCTCTGCTAGCATTCTATTATGTCTCCGCTGTAGGAGCTGTTTTCAAATGATTGATTCTATCCTGTAAATGCCCTGGTTGTTTGGAAGAAAATTCATATATCACTGACATGCTTTAAAAATGTTTTGCAGCTACCAAATGTCCTAAATTATTTTAATGATTTCAAGATTTATTGGTAAATCTTGGAGTATGCTGCTGTAAATTATTTTTTTTTTTTTACATTTTGTTTAAATCTCAGGTTTGCAACTTGATCATCTTGGCAAACCAGAATAGGTCCACTGCCCGGACAAACATGAATGACCATTCCTCTCGCTCCCATTCCATTTTCCGGTTGGACATTGAGGGAGAAAACGTTGGCCGAGGCACCAAGTGCAAGTGTAAGCATTAAAAATTGTCCCATGAGAAGATTCTCTATAATACATTTTTTCAACTTTTAGTGAAAGAATTTGAATGGTGTCATGATTATTTAGAAACTTGTTACTGTCTAAAATTGAAAGGGATTGAGTTTTTCTTCTTGAGTTTTTCTATGGTCCGTACAGTACAAAAATGAAGTTTCTCAACACTGTAGCAAGGCAGCATGTCAAAAGAAGACTTTGTTTTAGTGTTCAACATGTTCTAGTATCTAGTTCTGCTGCCTGTTCCAATTCTGGATTTAATATGCCCACGTCCCCTTGGCCTCGCCATTTCCCCTCGAATCCCTACTCCATCTTAAGGGCTTTTTCATTACTTTGTTAGCTCAAGTGAAGCCCTCTGAGGAGCGAGGGACTAGGTAAACACTAGGGTTCAAAGATTAATTGTTATTGTGTCAAAGTTGCAGTTTGAAAGAGTGAAATTTTCAAATTGCAAAAGCTGTAATTATACATTATCCAGGCTTTCTGCAGATCCTTAAAAGCTGTTGTAAAGTCTTAAAATAGATACAGAAAATTTCAGGTCTGAAAATGTCTCATGTTTTGCTGCTAGAGATGTTAAATTCAGGGACATCCAGGCATACTTTAAGGAATCAGGTATCTGCAAAAATAAGCTGAATCCCTTTGGATCTACTTAGGATTTTTCGTTTTTGTGCTGTTTATTTTAGTATCGCTGGAAACATTAAATATTAAATTCTAAACTATTGTGGAAACCTTGTGCCTTAGTGGCTGTGTTCACCATTTCTGGTTTAAATCTTATGTTCGCAGAATGTTAGCTTGTTCAAAGTGAAAGAACAGAGCAGCTACTGCATATGCATTACAGCAGTATGAAATCGAAATGTTCACCACTCTGTATGATGGTTATTTCACATAAGACATCCAATTAAACTAAAGCTGTTGTATGAGTGCATACTACTATGCATATAATTAAAAAATGAAAGTAAAGTAATTTAACTGCATAAATACTGTGAGTGGCTACTTGGTGTAATGCATTTCCAAGTGGTAAGTCAAAAAAGGGTATCTCTAAAAACAGTATTGAAATGAAGCCCTGAACTTATTCAGTAGATTAGAACACTTCAATTTTAGTGGGGCAACTAAGTTTTAGCAAGTGGTGTTGTAGGGGCAGCTTTCAAAAAGAAAAAATCCTTCAGAACTTGCTTAATTTGGTCAGAAAGAATGATCATTGCAGTGCAAGAGTATAGATATTATTGAAGACAGCTAAAAGCAAGTTGTAGGGTAGTCAGCAGTGAGGATTTAAAGGTTGCATGTTTTTCATTCATTTTTCTTCTGTTTCTTGTATGGTTATGACACTTTCCCTATGAACTTAATAATATAGAGTGCATTAGTGCCTTGTAAGCATTGTGAGTTTGGCAGAATTGTGAAGCTTAGCACACAACTCTTTAATATTGATATAGTTTATAATATGCTCTTCTACAAAATCTGAGCCTCTACCACTTTTGAAATAAAGGTCTAACACTAAGGTTTGGGAAAGTTTTACCTTCAGACTCTGGCATGTGTTTCAGCCTCCCTGTGTCTGGTGGACTTGGCTGGCAGTGAGAGGGTCCAGAAGAGCCAGTCTCAAGGAGAGCGATTTAAGGAGATGACAGCTATAAATTCTTCTCTCACCAATTTGGGCATTGTGATCACTGCTCTGGCCAACAAGGTCTGCTTGAGAAACTTCACAGGAGTGTTATTCATGTTGTTCTTTAAAATACAAGTGATACGAGTATAGAATTAACTTGTTTCTTTTTGTTTTCTATAGGAGAGTTTTGTGCCATATCGCAACTCTAAGCTTACCTACCTTCTTCAGGGATGTCTTGGTGGAAACAGCAAGACGTGAGTTATGAAACCTTGGTTGAGCACAACTTATTGTATTGTTTGGAATAAAGATGAAATCGAAAACACTATGTCCTTTGGAGGAGAGCTTTTATTTACCACACAAACCCAGTAATGTAATAATTATGTTTGGGAACGCGTTGTCAATTTGAGACTTAAAAAGAAATAATCTGATGGTTGTTTTTTGTACTTTGTTTAGTTTGATGTTTGTAAACATTTCACCAGAAGAAGACAGCTTCAATGAATCACTCAATTCACTTCGCTTTGCCAGCAAGGTCAGTGTTCCTCTAAAATGGCTTTTACTGGAATAGCCTGATGATTGATTGGTTCCCCTCCTTCCTCATCTGACTTTAGAACATGTTCTAAATGTTTGGTGAAAGTCTAGACATTTAGTGATGCCAGTGCAGTTACCTGTTGTGTGTTGTGTTGTGTGTGTGTGTTTTGTGTTTTTGTTTTGTTTTGTTTGTTTTTTTAAAAAAAGGTTTGTTAATGTCTTCTGTATACTGTTACAGGTGAATGACTGTGTTATCGGGACAGCCACTGCCAATCGGAAGTAGCCCCTTCAGTTCCTCTTACTGATGATCTTTTGCAAACTTTATTTTGCTTTTTATTATTTCCAATGTTTATCTTGCATTTTAAAGATTGTCTTGAATTTTAAAGACTTCATATTAAGAACATCCAATGTTTTAATCCATTTATCACTGCATTTTGATCAGTATTTTTAAAGCGTATTAAAGTTTAGTGTAGTTGAATTATTTGTATCCTGTGTTTGTTGTTTTGTGGAGGTACAGTGTCACCTAAAACTACAGAAGTCAGCTACTGACATTATTATTATTATTATTATTATTATTATTATTATTATTATTATTATTACTTACATTATTATGACAGTTGGCTAGATATCTTTTTCAGCAGTATAAACTGAGGATGTGTGTAACTGTTCAGTAATGATATTATCAAAGATTAAATGTAATTACCTGCGGTGCACTGCCTTATTGTAGTGGCATGCATTTCAGTATACCACTGAAATGTAACAAAGCACATTATTTCAACCTATGTTTTTAAGATAGCTCAGTGAACACCCATAGGCATGGCCAATACGTTTTGTTTAAAGACTGTTTGGAACGTATTTCCATATGGATCAGCAGCATCAAGAGGATTCTGTAAATTTGTTCGTGTTTTAAAATGGCGGAACATGGCAGGTTTGTCCAGTGTTGGGGCGAGCGAAAGAAGGTCATGTAAACACGCTGCAGAATTAACTATTTGGCAACAACTGTTTAGTGACTGACTCGTCCCTGTTTAAACGAGCAGAATCGCACCTCTTAACAGTTCTGTAACGTTACATTCATGGGCTTGTAGGTGTTACGGAATCTCCTGTTACTTCTGACGCCTATTCATTCTTTGATAAGGTAATTTTTGTCACGATTCTTGTGTGCTTAATGTTAGCTAACTTATCCATGGGAGCAAATACAATCTAAACGAAATGTTATGATAAATGTGCCAGTTTGACAAGCTTATAGTATGCCTCTGTGTTGCATTCAATGCATGAGAAATTGCATAAACGGCATGCAAACTTACTGAAAGCTATAATTTCATTAATGTTCCTTCAAATTATGACGCAGAAAAAAATTGTGGCCACTAACACTGTTAAATACGGTTTACTGGCATTTCAGTGTATATTTTACACTTCGGATTGCGTTTAATTTTGACCCCAGTAATTTTCTGTATTTCAAGACATGAGCCTCAAGCAGGATTCGTAAAGTCTCGACTCCATTACTGTTGCCATGACAATATTGTCTGACTGACGGTTTCCTCGCACCACATTTTGAGTCGGCTAAGTCTGGCTGTCTGGGATTTCTTAAAGGTAACAAGTAGGCATTCGTATCTCTAGGTAAAAGCAAGCTAATCGAGCAGTTCATTCTACTGTTCCACCATTTTCTTGAAACGTTACACAGACCGCGAGGAAATGGAGATCGTTCTGTATGTGTATCCTCGTTTCGGTGCCTGAAAGATATTTTTCGGGGGTAAGACTTGTCACCCAATCAGACGTTTGATTTGCATACAAGAAACAATAAATAGCTAGCTCGTAGCTTGCTAGCTTCGCACATAAGCATTGTTGATAGGGCCAACTTGCATGAATCAGTGTTTGCGTGCAGTTGTAGCTAAGACACGACACATCCCGGGTCCTGGATACCAGTTTTACTAGCTTAAGTAAAGCAGTGATTTTAAGCTTGATAGCATTTTGCAAACTATCAATGGCTGCGTTAGCCATGTCAGTGGAGTGTTCAGTATTCCAAGTAACCTAAGTAGCTAGCTAGTCGACTAGCTACGTAGCTAGTTAAAGTTGTGTCTGTGGACATAACCCACCGGATACCAGCCTGGTGAGCTAGCTTTGGACCCTGCATATCTGCATATCCTTTTTCTATCAGTGGAGTTTTTGGTTTTCAACTACATAGATTGACTAGTTGATTCAAAGAAACGAACTGTAGACTGTGGTAAAATTGAACACCTGTGGGCTTTGCAACTTTACCTGATCGTTTAGATTGCTTGAATGCAGATCAGATCAGAATGCAGATAGCAGGTCAAAAAAGTGTCGAGATACTTTTCTTAGCTAGCTAGCTAGCTAGCTAACGCTACTGTTGCTGTACCTGTTGTGTGCTATAGAACGGGTAAGCAAGATTGTCACAGGCAATGCCAGTTTAATCATAGCGCAGCATCAGACCTACTGATGTTTTCGATCATTCATAGAGGCACTCTATGTAGGACAACATTTAAAAATAGCTTTCAAAGAATAATGCTACAAATGTTGCAGCCAACTTCATACTTTCATCCAAAGCAAGTAATCCTTAAATAGCCGTTCTGTGCTAGAATGGAACGCTGATATGGACCCTCCAGAGGAAACTCTTTTCATGCCTCTTTTGTATTGAACGAACTTGTTTGTGATTTCATTATAAGTTATTTATGCAATGCAAATATTGCAGCACGTTTTAAATCACGCATGCCATCCCTAATCCAACCATTCAGTTTCTGCAACAGACCAGAATTGGCAGTTGTTTGTGTAAAAAAAAAAAAAATTTGTTTCTGTCTTTTGAGTAATGACAAGACAAGGTTAATTGCATTATCCCAGGCAAATTAAAATGAAACAATTAAAAAAATAAAATTAAATTAAAGTAAAACATAAATTGGCAATTTATTCCCATATTTTAAATTTTCACATAAATGTTGGCTCATAATCAAAATAAAGGTTCAACAGTGATGATTCAAGTGTTAGTATTGGCATTTAGTTTGCACAGAGACTTGAATGTTTTATGATTAAAATGTAAAACTGGAAAACTGAATTTGGTTACGAAATGATGTGGTCAACTTATATTTAACTTTGTCTTTGCTCTCTTTAATAAGGACCTTGAAAATGTCATTATCAAAGACAACATTATGCAGGAAAGATGGCAAAAATAATATTTAAAAACAGAAATAGCACCTTTCCTCTCTGCCATTGCATATTCTTGGCTATGGCAATGATTTTGTAGCAATATCAGGTTAACAGGCAAGGCCATACTGTTGACTTCTGTGCATGGAACATATTACTACACAAAATGTGACTATAAATTTAAATGAAGTTGTAGATACATGAATGTTGTTAAGTATAAAAAAGGCAATTTAATTTAGCCCAGTCTAATAGGAATATAAGCTACAAAAACAGTAGCAGTGGCACAGCAGGCACAATTGCTTTATCTTACATAAATTTATGCATACAAGTTTTAACTTTATAAGATGGAGCAGTGCACTATATCTCCATCTGATGCTCACATACCTGTGACACACATACATGCTCACATACATGACCGAGCAAATCCTTAAATCAAACATTTGACTTTACTGGGCATTGATACTGGCGGGGTCACTGATAATTTGAAAACAGTAGCTGAAATATCTGAACTTGGAGAAGTGGGGGGTCCGCTATGCAGATTACTTTGCCATCAAGGGGATATCTTCTACATAGACCAGCATCAGGTCTGGATATATTACTCTGCATGACCTCATTTACATGCTTGCTTGCGAAGCGTATTTTGTTCAATATTTTTGAACCAAAATGTACTCCATATGTGAAAGCTCAGAGGTGTATCAAAATTCCAAGGACATACAAACACCTCATAACATTATTAATAGAATTAATATTGTTGTTCATCTTAAGAAGTCTGAAATCAATCCAATTAGTAGGTTTTTGTTACTGCAGTAATGGCAACTAGGAAAAAAAGTAGGAAAAAAAAGCTACGAGACTGCAACCATTGAAATACACAAAATATAGCTTACGTCTTCAGGGCTCTCTATGATTAAACACAACCTCTGTCAAGCTGGAATTAAAACACTATTATTAATTTGTGCTGTGTTTGTGCCATTAAAATAAATGTTTGCATTGTTGTATTTATCAAGTTATAGGCCAAAGAATATATATATATTTTTTTATTTAGATGTCAAAAGACCATTTGTCCAATAACTTAAGAATTTAAACAGCACAAATATTTCCTTTAATGGCACAAACACAGCACAAACAAATGAGACTGTTTTCGTGTGATTTAGTTTTTAATTGAGGGGCTGAGGGCCATCACATATCATATGTTGCTTAATAACTTGAGAATTAGTGTTTATTTTAGCAGCACAAACAATCAAGACCATTTTGCTATGATTTGGACATTGAGGGGGCCTGAGTGATGGCACTCCTTGAAAGATTTCTTGTATAACTTAAAAATTAAAATAGCACATAGAACATTTCTTTTAACAGCACAAATGCAGCCAGATGAAACCATTTTTGTGCAATCTAGACGTTGATGAGGGGCAGAGTGAAATCACAGGAGATAACTACACAGAGGTTTAAACACAGAACTTAGTCCACTGTGTTCAATTTCTGTCAAATGTACCTGTTCTGTAGCTAGAATTTTCCTTTCTTGCCTCTTGTAGGTATGCAGTCAACAATCGTGGAGAACAGTTGTGATGGCACCTCTGGGTTGTCTACTGGGGCAATGGTGCAAGTGTGCTTCCCCAACGTGCAAGCATCTGTGCTAGACAGCCTTAACCGACAGCGTGAGGATGGACAGCTGTGTGACCTTTCCATACATGTGCAGGGGCAGGTGTTCAAAGCCCATCGCTGTGTATTAGCTGCATCCTCACCTTACTTCCATGACCAGGTGTGTCTTTTTCTGACACTTTAGCCTCATAGTACTTTTTGGCAGAGGTCATTAATTCCGATCTTGAACAGCCAGTGTCCAGTGTGGTGACATCTCTACTGTGTAATATACTAACCTAAACTGGTAATTAATTTTTAAGTTGGAATAGGAGGAATCACTGCTGTGCTGTACTCTGGTCCTCCTGGACAGCTGAATGAAACAGAAAGATGTTGTTTACACCCTGGGTTAACATGTTTGGATCGTATCTGAATTTACGTTCCTATAAACATATACTATTTACACTTATCACAAAAAACACATTGGCAGTTTGACCTAAAGGGATTCGATTTTACTTTACAGTGTAAAAAGAACCACTTCTATAGCATTTCTGTCCTACTTCTGTTTATGGTTTTCCTTCTTTATGAGTAAAACTGACAAGTTTGTCTTGGACACTTTCATCGGCCCAGAATGCAAGAAGGCAGTAGGTTTTAGGATAACTCCATTGTTAGCCCTCCATCTTGTGTTGACATGTTTATCCTCTCAACTGCTAGTTAGCACTCAGAAGACATTTTGCTTACATAATTGAATGAAGATATAGAAAACTCATTCCATTTATGCTTGTGTTAAATGTTGTCAGGTCCCATCTCTGGCCACCTGTGAATGTGCTTTGAGTGATCCTAGCTGTGTTTACAGCTGGGTTTTCATGTGGTCAAGTGAAATCCGATTGTGATCTGATTACTGAACATGCATGTTGATGCAAGGTGTAAAAAGCCTTACAGCATTTAACACTAGATTTAATAAATACAGCCTGAATGCTAACTGTGTGTCTGTGCTTGACAGGTGCTACTGAAGAATATGTCCACAGTGTCCATCCCAGCTGTCATGGACCCACTAGCTTTTGAAAGTGTTCTCAGCTGTGCCTACACTGGACAGCTGCGAATGCTGCGTGAAGACATTGTTAACTACCTCACTGTAGGAAGCGTGCTCCAGATGTGGCATATTGTGGACAAATGCACAGAACTACTCAAAGAGGGCAGGGGAGGATCCAGTGGGCCGCATGATGTTAGTGCTGCCCCAGAGAACACTAGATGCAGCAGCAGTGCCAACAAGGATGCCTATGGAGATGAAGGAGACACTCAGTGTATGGTGCACCCTCCTAACCATCCCTCGCTGAGTGAAAGTCAGTCTCCTAGCAGCACAAATTACTTCAGTCCCAAAGATGTTAGTTTTGGTGGGGCTGTGGTAACCACTGGTGCAGCAGGAGATGGAGGCGTACATTCCACTCCTAACTATTGCATGCCATCCAGTCGAGAAGAGACTTTCCTAATTGAGGAAGAGGATGAGGAAGACGACGATGAACTTTTGTACCCCAGAAAACAAGAACGAGGGAGCAGCAGGAGAAAGAAGTCTGTCCCTGTCTCTGATCAAGAAATGGGAGAGAGTGACAGTTTTGGGGTTTCGTCCTACCAAAACGGAGAGTCATCACCACCCCAAAAGCGCCCCACATATAGTCAACCGAGCATTATGCCTCGGAAGCAGTGGGTGGTTGTAAAAACTGAGCGCTCCCGGGATGATGATCTCATTGTAGTTTCGGGAGAAGAAGGAGGCGAAGATGAAGAGGAGAGGGAGTTAGAGATTGCCAAGGAGAGAGAGAGAGAGAGGACATTTAATATTTCTAACGTTAGGACCCTCTCAGCAGACCTCAGCAGCAGGGAAGAAATGGAAGCACACGTAAGTCACCAAGTTCTCAAAGTTTGCATTTACTTCACTTAACCATTTTAGCAATCGATTCTAATAGCTGATGATTTCACAGGTTGACTTCTGCCAGTCTTCTGAAGACTACCTCAAGTTTGAAAGTGGTTTAATGGACCAGGCGTCATCACAACACCCACTTGAAAACTCCAGCCAGAATAGCAATCGGGCAGTTTCTGCCTTACTGGGCTCAGTTCAGTCAGCTGCTGCCAGAGCCCAGCTCTTCCCACTGGACATGCAAGGCAATCAGATTCTTCTGTATAATCAGGCCACTCTTGATTCTTCTCCTCCATTAGGTGTTTCAGGAGGTTTGTCTGGAATGTCTTTGAAAGGAAATGTGGAGCATGGAGCAGTCCACTTGTCTGGGCAGAGCGGAATAGACAGTGGATTAGAGGGCTTAGATGGCAATGGAAATGGCACCTCAGGCAAAGTCTTCATGTGCCATTGTGGCAAAAGGTTTACCCACAAGAGTATGCGAGACCGTCATATCAACATGCATCTGGACCTGCGGCCTTTCCACTGTCCAGTCTGTGCTAAGAAGTTCAAGATGAAGCATCACCTCACAGAGCACATGAAGACACACACGGGTTTGAAGCCCTACGACTGCCATGGCTGTGGGAAAAAGTTCATGTGGCGTGATAGCTTCATGAGGCATCGCTCCCACTGTGAGAGGCGCAATGGGATCAGCGGCACTAGTGAGGCACGAGGATCAGAAGGGTCAGTGATCTCCCCTCCACATCACGTTCAGCACCAACCTTCAGGCAATGAAGGTACTCAAGGAAATGTTGCTGGTAGAAGTGGAATCCCAGTTTTGTCTCCACACCACTCAAGTACTGGTACTAGTGGAGTACCTTGTTTGACCATGGCTGTACCTGGTCCTCTTTTAGGGCTAAACCCCCAAAGTGGGATGTATGGTCTTGGTTCTGGTGTTCTTGGGCTAGGGGTGAGTCATGTTGGATGTGGGGAAGAGGTTAGTGAAGTTAGTGTTGGTGAAAGCAGCATCACTTAAGCTACTATGTGAGACAGTGTTGAGCAACAATCTCCATTCCTTAAAAAGGGGAAATGTTACCTTATAATTCTCAACAAATTTAGAGGGACCGTGTGTACAGTCTGATTATTCTAACACTTACAGTCTTATGTGTTCTAGTGCATGTGCCATATGATGAGATTAGGAAAGAATCCTTATCAAGTAACCATTGTTAGAGCACTTATATACACATAGTAAGAGATGTTTAAAGTAGGCTGCTATGGTGGTTATCAGAATTCAGAATAACATTATTCTGATCTGGAATAATGTCAGCCACTGTTGCACACAACCTGCCTCAATAGCACAAGATGTTTGTTCACACTCATTTCAAAGTGCCATACATTCCAGTAGCTAGTGTTATAATGATATATGATGGATAATTTAGTATGTTTCCACCATAAAATTTTACAGACAAAATGTTGGCCATATATTTCATGTAGAACCTTCTTTTTCCAGTTTGCCTAAGCTATGTTAAAGGCTGCCTCTTAAATAGTTGCAGAAATGTGCAGCCTGTATGTTTGGAAAGATAATTGTTAAATGTTAAGAAACTAGTGAATTCATCATCTCAAACGTTTTAAAGGATGCACATTGCTGTACCCTGTATTTATTTGGTATTCTCAGAGTTACTAGGGAGCATTAAATGTTTATTTTTTCTTTTGTTTGTGTGCATTTTCTTTAAATCGAAATTGAAGAGAATCATTCTAGGCTTTCTCAGTGCCAAAACTTTGGCCCCTTTGCAACACATGATCTTTATTAAAACCAAACAAGGCTAAAAGCAGTTTAAGTACGGGTTAAGTTATGATTGAGCAAGTTCTACTTACTCGGTAAAGCACAACAACAAACGTGCAATCTATGCAATATTGCAAATCACTGCAAAGAACTAAACTGAATCAGCAGAAGAAAGGCAAATTTTAAACATTGACTAGCTAATGAAAAATACAGACAGAGTTGTTGCAGTTGAGTTTCTGGTGTCTGTCTTTCAGTGGATCAAGGTTGTTTTGTATATTGGATTCTGTAATTCTGTAAACGGTGAACTCTGACTGTAGAAATGAACTCACTTAATACAAAAGGAGACTTGGCTCACTGTGCTACAGTTTGTCCTTGCTGCTGAAAGCTAGTCATTACACAACTCTGTCTTCAAACAGCATGATTTAATCCTCAGAATAGTGCTAGCCTTATTTAAGATGCTTATATGATGATCACATGAACTTTAACTGAAAAGAGGAAGTTAATGCTCAAAAGGAGATCGGTAGCGTACTCCTATAGAGTTGCACACAACATTGCATATAAAGACAACTGATTCTGTTTTTGAAGCTTGATTTTAACTCTCCTTCAATGTATTTTAACATTCTTTCATAATCACATATGTTGAAGTTGCTTTGCTTGAAAACTTCAGGGTTTTGCAGGCTAGTGAAAAATTACTATGTAAAAACAGTTTTTTTATTCTGAAATAGTGAAAGGTAAAGGTACACAAGATATTTTGCACAATATATTAAGTGACATTTTGCATTTCAGATCTTGTTCATGTGAGTTTCTCTAACTGAGGGAATGTGGTGACTAAACAATAAAACAGTATGCCCAAAATAAGTTTGGAACCATTAAGCTCACATAGTACGTCCTCAGTTGTTTAAATACTTGACAATACAGGGCTCTGTGAGATTACATTTAGTCCAGCATTAGACTTCTGTAGGCAACACTGGTTCTGATTTTGATTACAAGGGTTGCCTTCCATGAAGGCTATAGAAATGATTTGCCATGTTTTGAAATGGACCTGTAGAGCTTTAAAAGATAAAGGAATGTGGAGCTAAGGATGGTTCCTTGTAAGTGTGTTTAAAAAAAAAAAAATCAAATTCAGTTTAATTCCCATAAAATTTATTTTCCATGTCATGGAGATTTTTAACTAGTATGGTTTAAGTGGACCAAGACCCATTATACATGAGAGAACAATAAAAGTCCAGTACCTTTTGGTATGGAAATGGCAAAATGGAAACTTTTTTTTTTGAAAATTTAAGCATAAACTAAGTTGCTCTTAAAAGACAAAAAGATTTTAGAGATTGTCATTAGCATCTGCATTGAACTGATTTTCTGTCCAGGGCTTGGTTTAATCAGTTCCTGGAAAACTAGCGTAATTTAGTCCGGCATTAGACGTGTTTTAATGGAAAAAAGAGTAGTGACATATAGAATATTTTAATGAAATACTAGCGATCAGACTGCCTCTCATCTTTTCTTAGATTAAGTTAAAAATGTTCTGATGCTGAACTGGTGTACGCAGTCACCAACTCAAAGTAAACAATATTGGCCACAATGACCAGATACCTCAAACCTTGTCACATTTTTTTCCTGCTGCAGCTGTATTTAAGTTGCAGTTGTTGTGGTTGAGTTGCTTACAGAATATGAATTTTGTTACACGCTTATTTGTAAACATGCTACTAGCAGCAGACCAAACTGCTAATTTCTAATTTAGACCCAGTAGATAAATGTTGTCAGTAAAATATACATGAAAAAAAGAAATAAACACTATCTGTTGCAGTGACCTCAAAGCATAGTTGTCCTTTTTTCTGTTCTATTAAAATTATATGTAGTAAGTGGTTGGGCCACTACAAGCTACCAGAACAGTTTCTGTATGCATAGATTGGCAAAGATTCTACACTGAAACTGAAACTGTAGAGGGATAGAACACCATACTTCCAAACCATATTCCCTCAAATACTATTTCGATGATGGTGGAAGAGCTGTCAAACACTAAAGTTTGGTGACTTTAAATGCCATAGCATATGATTTTTGTTGTTTTGATACTCATCAAACCATTCAGTGACTCCTCGTGCCCTTTGGATGTAGGCATTGTTATCCTGGAAGAGACCACTCTTATCAGGATAAAACGTTTCTATCATAGGACAATGGTGATCAGTCACAATAACTTTGTAGTGATTTGCACTAATCTTCCCTGAATGAGAAGAGGACTCATAACAGCATAACATATCCACTGGACCCCCTCATTATAGGGTGAGGCATTTAGACTGTTCTGATGTCTTTCCTGTAGATCTAATTGCAAATGTCACATAGTCACTGTTCCTACTGCAACACTAGCCAGGTGATCAGTCTCTTGCTATCCATGCCGAAATAATGAACATTCTTTCATACTCTTTTAAATGTTTTCTACTTGCCACTTGATCCAAAACCAAGATCACCTGGGCCTGCTCAACATTTTTATTTATATCATTGAGCATAGCAGGATGTTAATTGCTTATGTGTATAATGTAGTACACCTTTCTGAAAGCATCTGCACTCGTTATGTTACTCCATTTTTTCAGGTTTTTCTTTTAATTTGTCACCTACCTATATGCAGGAAGAAATACATGAGTGGGAAAACACAGTGAGCACAGATGCTTCCAGTAGGTACTGCAATTAAGCATTTAACACCCTCATTTCCAGCATTAACAGCATTTCCTACCATGCTCTGTGGTATGTATAAATAGAGCAGATCCAGCAGACCTTGGTTTTGGGTAGTGGTTTGGTGGCTCTTTTAAGCCGTGGGGGGCATTTTACTGGCATGATTTGGGTCCACTGGTCCCCTTAAGGGAAGGTCACTGCAAGTCAATACAAATTTATTCTGATTAATCACTAAGCACTTTATTTAAAACACTATACCAATTCTGGTTAGGAAGATGATGGAAACATTCCTTTGAGATTCTGGTCCATGTTGACATCATGCAATTCCTGCAGATTTTTCAGGTTTCACTTTCATGCTGCAAATCTCCCATTCTACCACATCCCAGAGTTGTTCTATAGGATTCAGACCCGGTGACTGAACGGCCACTGAAGAACACTGGACTCATTGTCATGTTCATGAAACCGGTTTGAGATGACTTTTGCTTTGCAACATGGTGCATTATCATGCTGGAAGTAGCCATCAGAAGATGCATAAACTGTGGCCTTGAAAGGATGCACGTGGTCAGCAACAATACTCAAATGGCTGTGGCGATGACTGGTATTAACACATCAGTGTCTCACAATAAGATAATTCTCAGCACTGCAGTGACGCTGATGTGTTGGTGGTGTCTTAGTGTGTGTTGCACTGGTAAGAGTGGATCAGACAGCAGCGCTTATACACCACCATCACGTTAGTGTCACTGCAGTGCTGAGAATGAACCACCACCCAAATAATACCTGCTCTGTAGCAGTTCTGTTCTTCAATGGAGAGCTAACGAAGTACACAGAGAAACAGACTGACTACAATCTGTAATTGTAGGACCATAAAATAGAGTGTTGACAAAAGGAGGTGTATTTAATGAAGTGACTGGTCGGTGTGTGTTACCGTGTTGTGTATTGTGCATTTTCAATTCTCCATTCCACAGTGCATCATGTAATTCATGGGGTCGCCAAAGAAATGAGGCAAATTCTGATGATCCTTGGTGATGGTTGTCAGTCCCACTCCTGGACCGTGGAGACTTCAGCTCCTAAAACAAATGCAAACCTGTAATCTAACCTCAGTTTGCTTTCTTTTGCGTAGCTGAATTATACTCAGGATTTTTTTTATATTCATCTTCAGCTCTGTCTTGGAACTTACCTTGTATTTCTTTATTAGGTTGTGCCACCTTTTCCTGTAGCCCCAATTCCAAAGGACAGTCCTATCAACAAGCAAACAAAATCAAATGGGGTTTTAAACTTTGTTAGAGAACTAAAATTTTAAGCAAATTAGTAAAGTGCTTAACCAAATAAGCATATTACTTCTACTTACTTTCAAGTTTGATTAGCAAATGTTATACTATAGTATGAAATGGGTTTGTAGGATTGACTAATTGGTGTCCAATTGTATGTGCAAAGAGCCGGTGTGGCTGCAGAATTTATGATTGTTTTTCCTGATTAAGGGGAATCAGGTGAGCTCCTGCTTGTTTCCAATGAAAACCTGGAGCTACAGCCGCCTTTTGTGTGTAAAATTGGACACCCCGGATCTAACTGGTGAACCAACAGCCTAATCCTAGTTGACAAAGCAGAGTTTTTCTCCCCGGTGAACAGCCTCTCTCTCTCTATACTACCCTTTATGAAGGCTTCAAGTGCTGATCTGGTCCCTGAAAGAGTGGAAAAACTTGTGTGTGAGAACACAGAGAACTAAATAGCCAGCTATCTAGTAAGTTACAGAAAAAGCACCATATAACCCTCATTATTCTACCAAAGTATTCAAGACACAAATGCTGCTAGTTAAGCTTCTTAGTTATTAGCTAGCAAATTTGTTAACCAGCTGGCTATTCAAAGCAATAGCCTGAGAATTCAAAATCCGCTAACATTCATGTGATGGAAAAGATTTAATAAAACATTCCTTGATTAATAATCAATAAACTAAATATTGGCTGACTAGAGAGTATGGAGCTCTCCTAAAAAGGTAATATTGGGGAGCAGGCTATGGACTGTATGCATTTGGAATCTCTGATGGGGATAAACTTTTGAACTCACAGAAGAGAGTTGAACCAGATGACAGTATAGTACAGTAGGTTATAGCTGAGGTGATAGTTTCAAGATGATATTTGCATTGTGTTTGTCCGGGAACCATCTTGCCATTTGATGCTCAATAAAGCGAGGGCCTTTTCCTTCCTTCGTTCCACAAGAACTCAGCACCTGAAGGCTTTTTTTATTCCTTTTTATCCTTTTTCATTTTTGTTGATATTCTTTGATTCTTTTAATTCTCTTTGAAGATGGCAGATTATAGACAGTTATTAGGGCAATAGTATGGACAATATTAGAGTTACTTATAAAAGTCCAGACCCTGGGCAAAAGAGATAGCTCTTGGTCACGACACATGCTAATGTCTTGGTGTTCCAAAAACTGTAAAATGACCTAAATGCAATTAACTATTGGCTATTTGTGCACCTTTCTGACAAAAAAACAAATAGAATACCACAGAAAATCAGAATAATTTACATTTAAAGATGACTTCGCCACTTGCCGGGCTGCTTATCACAGCGCTTCTGCCCGCCATCTTCAAACAAAAGTTGTGCCCCGTTGTACTGTGGGATTGCCTTAGCAGCTAAGGAAACATTCGATGTTCTCTTGATATTTGGTCAAAATACAATGCCAGTAGGCAGCATATTTGAAGTAACTAAGAAATGAGACAGCCTTCTTGTCAGGAGCGCACATATTATGGCATAAAATGCTGTCTATGTAGAGAGTATTGGGACACCCCTCATAATTAAGCTGATAGCCTTCCAGTCTTGATAGACAAACACTGGCAGTAGAATGGGTCGCGCTGATGAGCTCAGTGACTTTAAATGTGGCACTGGCACAGGATGCCACATCTGCCACAAATCAGTTTGTGAAATTTCTGTGCTGCTAAATCTGCCCATCAACTGTAAGTGCTATTATTGTCAAATGGAAGCATCTAGGAAAAACAGCAGCTTGGCCACAAAGCAGTAGACCCCCAAACTCACAGAGTGGGGCTGCCAAGTGCTGAAACGCACAGTGCCTATCCTCTGTTGAATCACTCACTAAAGAGTTCCAAATTGCCTCTGAAAGCAACATCAGCAAAAGAACTGCACGTTAGCTACACACAAGACTAAGATCAAAATGCACAATGCCAAGCATGTGGGGTGGTGTAAAGCATGCCACCACTGGATTCTGGAGCAGTGGAAACGTTTTCTGTGGAGTGACGAATCATGCTTTTCTATCTAGCAGTCTAATGAATGAGTCTGGGTTTGACAAATGCCAGGAGAACATTACCTACCTGACTGCATTGTGCCAAGTGTGCCATGCTATGGGGTTGTTTTTCAGGGTTTGGCCTAGGCCCCTTAGTACCATTGAAGGTAAATGTTAATGTTTCAGCATACCAAGACATTTTGGACAGTTGTATGCTTCCAGCTTTGTGGACACAGTTTAGGAAAGCCCCTTTTCTGTTCCAGCATGACTGTGTCCCAGGGCACAAAGGGTGAGTTTGGTGTGGAAGAACTTGACTGGCCCGCACTGAGCCCTGACCTCAACCCCATCGAACGCCTTTAGGATGAACTAGAACGGATTGTGAGCCAGGCCCTCTCACCCAACATCAATGTCTGACCTCACAAATGCTCTTTTGGATGAATGGGCAAAGATTTTCACAGACACCAGACACACTCCAAAATCTTGTAGAAAGCTTCCCAGAAGAGTGAAAGATGTTATAGCTGCAAAAAGGGGACCAACTCTGAAACACTGAAGTTAAAAGACTAGATAACAAAACAACCCAGCTGTACACAAAAACAAACTCATGACATGAGACATTTAGAGAGAAAAAATGAAAGGACCCAAGTGGACTAGAGATGCAGCAACTTCCTGTAAAGGGGTTTCCATTAGCAAGCACTGATATTAAGAAGTCTAAAAGCATCCACACAACCTGCAGTCTAATTAGTGCATTTAGCAACTTTCAATTGCTTTCAAGCAAGTATTCAATTGTGCACACAGCTTGTATAATCTACATAGAAAATGGGATGCTCTGGAGAGGCTGCACATGAGCCTAAGGTCACCATGCCCAGTGACAAGCATCCATTAGAGGGGTATAAAGCCCCCCAGCATTTGTCTGTGTAATAGAGCACCATGCATGTGGTGTTTAAGATCCAAAACTATTTATCCTTTAGGACCTGACCTCACTAATGCTCTTATGGCTGAATGCAATCAAATCGTCATGGCAATGTTCCGAAATCTAGTGCAAAGCCTCAACAAAAGAGTAAAGGGGGTGTAAACTCCCCATTAATACCCTTGATTTTATGTTGGATGAGCATGAGTTGGATGAGCATGAGTCTACAAACGTTTGGACATATTATGTATTTGTTAGTACAAGGGAGCCTGGTTTCAAAGCTGAAGAATCACAGCTGTAAGCTCTTGGGCCCAATTAACAGACACTAGATATTATGTCTCCACAAAAGAACCGTAATACTCTTTGCAGTGAGAACTGCCTCTAATCTATAAAAGTAGGAGGAATAGCTTCTTAATATCATGTAATATAGAGACAGACTACTAATGCCAAAAATCATATTTCCTTTAGTTCCTATACTGGGGCACAAAGATTTTACTAAACTGGTAAAATAAGACCACCTAAAGGTAAGAAATATTCTAAATGAGATCTCCTCTTGATCTCAGGTATTTCTCCTAGACATGGTTAAGTCCAGGTTGACATCAGAGTGAGACTTCAGCCATTTTCTCCTGTTTTTGAAATTTGGCTCCTGAGAAATAAAACCCAGATTTTCTCACTTTGATCAAAATGTTGTCACACATGTGGCTCAAGTCTTTTGTGCCTGACTCATCTCACCCCAGTCTCAACAGAATAATACTTAGCGTAAGATCTCATGG